CTCTCTCTCTCTCTCTCTCTCTCTGCGTGTGTGTGTGTATGAGAGAGAGAGAGAGAGAGAGAGAGAGAGATTAATATAATAATGTGTTTTTTAATCATATTGTATTAATTTATAATTAGGAGTATTGTACTAAAGCTCAACAAGGTGACATTGAAAAGAATTGGGATACAATTAAAATTAGGTTGATAGTTGACGGTAAAGCTGAAAAGACTTATGATCAGGCTAATTGTACACGTGATGGCTATAACAAAAATAAGGATCGGGGTATATGCGCTGATTCACTGCCTACCACTACACCATCTAACGGAATAATTAGTTTTCCAAGTTGCATTATGTATATTTTCATTATTGCTATTACTATTATCCATGTATTGTAAGCAATCAATAATATATAAAAATATTAAAAATATTAATTGTATTAATAAAACTTATAATTTTATTAAATTATTTTATTGAAATTTTAAATAATTTTTATTTGTAATTTTAAAATACAGACTTATTATTTGTCGTTGTACAAATAATGTGATACATACAACATAAATTAAATACTGTATATTATTATAGTATTATAATTATAATTGCTAAATAGTACTAGTACAGTATTATTTTTAATATATACTGTATAAAACTGTTAGAATAAGTTCATATATAATTATCATTTCCTACTTATATTTTATATCTATTTTAACCCTGTATCTATTTTGTGATATATAAAATATCTATAAAGCACCTGTATCATTCAACTATATTTAATAAGATCATTAAGTGCATTCTACAACATACTGTAGTATTAGTTATAATGCAGTTCAATGCATACTGCAAAAGTCTGCGATAATTAAAGCTTTACTTTCACTTTATAAATATTATATATCATTTTGTAAAATCACATTACTATTTTCAATACTATACCAGGGTAATTAACACGAGTCAATAAAGTGCTTAATTACACTTAAAACGGAAATACTACAGAATATTGCATTGGTTAGTAACACTAATCAATATTGCTAATGTACTAAATTATATCTATTAATACCTTGTTGATAATCTAAAGTCCGTAAAAAGCATATTTAGGTCATAACGATCTTAATATTGCGGTAATTGTTTTAAATAATTAATTTAAATTAAACACGCTACATTTATTTTTAAAAATATTATATATTATAGCTAAAATTAACAATTACAAAACTTGATTTTAAAATGATATTAATAAAATCATTTAATATAAACAAACTAAACAATAATTAATTAAAAATATTTCGTAATCAATCGTATCATATATTAGAAAAATATACTTGTTTATCTCATAATTGTGAATAACATAATAATCAGATAAAAAAGTTTATTTTGTGTAAAATTAATAGTATAAATACTTTTGAAACTTGTTATAAATATAAATCAATAATAGTATTTTACTTAATAAGAAATTAATAAAATATTATTTTTATTACTCCTAATATTATATATAAATTTTTTATATAAATTAATTTCATCATGCAAATTATTCTGGTCACCTTATTTTGTCTATTGACTGCGTTATGTAAGTACAGTAATAATTAATACTAGTATTTATTACAAGTATACAATATTACAATATAACAATATTAAATGAATTACTTAAGTTTATGTAACTAATTTATCTGGTAAAATTAATTTTAAAACTATTTTAAGATATGTAATTTAATTAATAGAATATATCAAAAAATATAGTAGCAAGGCACAATATATATAAACTTATTATAATTTATGAGTATAAAGTTTATATTTTAAATTTTCTATTTAAAACTATAATTAATTTAATATATGTTATAGTGTCTGAGTCGTACCCTACCGGTGCTGTCTACAGCAATGATGTCCTGGATGACATCGAAAAAGACATAAACGCCACGGTCACCGACATCGACAATGAACTAGCTAAACTGTCCAAGGAGGGTAGATCATCGGAGGGCACCCTACTTACCCAATACAAAGAGAATGCCCATAATCAAATAAAAATCATCGAGGACAATCGCCCACTAATAGTACCTGGCACACTATTAAGGGCACAGCAGCTCAAGGACGGTGTTGCCAATGAAATAGCGAGGCTAGAAAATAAACCTACCGGCGCTGACAACGATATTGGCGATGACATCAAGAAGGAACTGGATGTGATTCGGACGAACATTAGGACAGAGTTGGCTAAACTCGAGAAAGAGGGCCGTAAGGCAGAGGGCGCTACACTCGTACAGTACAGCGCACAGGCGGACAGTATGGAGGCGGCCATTAATGGTACGAAAGTTGATTTACTACCGGTGCTCAAGACCTATGCTGATCTACTCGGTGTAAACGTCAACGACGAGATTAAGCGACTGGAGGGTAAGCCTACCGGGGCTGATCCGGTCGACGACATACATAAGAAGGTGGACGGCATTGAGACCGACATTAAGGCCGAGTTGGCTAAACTCGAGGGGGAGGGCCGGGCAGCAGAGGGCGCTAAGCTTCGGCAGTATAAGGCATCGGCCGATGGTATCGAGAAAAGCCTAAAGGAGGCGCGACCTGACGTCATACCAGTGCTCCAGAGTATGGTAGATATCCTGCGGGTTAATGTGGACGAAGAGATTAAGAGGTTGGAGGGAAAGGTAGATCCCGTGGACGCCATACACCGAGAGGTAGACCGGATTGAGGTCGACATTAGAGCCGAGTTGGCGAAGTTGGCCGACGAGGGCTCACAGCTCCGGGAGTATAAGAAAGGGGCCGATGATCTGGAGGTAGCCCTAAAAGACGCCAGACCCGAGTACCTACCGGTGCTCCAGAGTTACGCGGAAATACTCCGGGTGTACGTCAAGGAGGAGATTGAGAGACTGGAGGGAAAGGTAGATCCGGTGGTCCGTATTCATGAGAAGGTCGATAGGATTGAAGTCGATATTAAGGCAGAGTTGGCTAAACTGGATGGGGAGGGCCGGCAGGTAGAGGGCGCTCAGCTCCGGGTGTATCACTCGTCGGCTAATAGTTTGGAGAAAAGCCTAAAGGAGGCGCGACCTGACTTCATACCAGTGCTCCAGACGTATGCGGATATATTAGGGGTTAATGTTGCTGAAGAGATTGAGAGACTGGAAGGTAAAGCTACCAAGGTGTAATTGTGTTTTTAGTATTTATTAAAAGTATTGTAATAGAAAAATTATGCTTATTAATACGGTATTTATATTTTAATAAATTATATTGCTATATGATACTGGTATGATATTGCTATATACATTATTTATTATGGTTAATGATATAATATAATATGCTGGTAAATTAAATGTTTTAATAATTGTTTTAATAATTTATATTTTATGAAAAGTTTATGAAAACTAAAGTTAAATAAGGTAGATTTTACAGTATCTTACACGATTATCATCCAGGAGATTAAACATGAAAAACATTCATTTCTGTATAATTTATTTGTAATATGTCGTGGGATATTTATCAAATGTATAATAATCACTAACAAGTAAGTTATTAAAAGCATAATAATACAATAAATTGCTTTTATAAAAATTAAAGTATAAATAAGACTTTAACATCCTGGTTTAAAAATATTTTATTTTACATAATACGTAGTTAGTATTATATTAATTAATAATGAAATTTACTATTGTTGCACTTGTATGTCTATCGGCAGCTCTAGGTAAGTTTTGAATATTTTTTAATTAGTAACCAGATCAAAAAAAATTTATATAAAAATATAATTAATTTAATATATTTTATAGTGTCTGAGTCGTACCCTACCGGTGCTGTCCACAGTAATGATGTCCTGGATGACATCGAAAAAGACATAAACGCCACGGTCACCAACATCGACAATGAACTAGCTAAACTGTCCAAGGAGGGTAGATCATCGGAGGGCAGCCTACTTACCCAATACAAAGAGAATGCTCATAATCAAATAAAAATCATCGAGGACAATCGCCCACTAATAGTACCTGGCACACTATTAAGGGCACAGCAGCTCAAAGAGGGTGTTGCCAATGAAATAGCGAGGCTAGAAAACAAACCTACCGGCCCTGTAGACCCTGCTGACGCTATTTACAAGGAACTAGATGCCATTGAACAGACTATCAAAACTGAGCTAGATAAGTTGACTAAAGAAGGTAGGGCTACAGAGGGGGCCCAACTGGAAGAGTATCAAAAAAATGCCGAAACTATTAGGAAGCAAGTAAAGGAAGTCATAAAAGACGTACTACCGTTCCTCAAAGCGAGCGCTGATATACTGCAAAAGGATGTGAACACCGAGATTAAGCGCCTGGAGTCGAAAGGGGCCCCTGTAGGGTAAAACTACCAGGGTGTAATTGTGATTTTTGTTATTTATCAAAAATTTGTAATAAAAAATTATGCTTATTAATGCGGTATTTATATTTTAATAAATTATATTGCTATATGAAACTGGTTATATTATTTATTATGGTTAATGATATAATTTAATGTGCTGGTAAATTAAATGTTTAATAAATGTTTTAATAATTTATATTTTATTAAAATTTATAAAAACTAAAATTAAATAGCGTAGATTTTATTGTATCTTACATGATTATCATCCAGGACATATGATTAATCATAAAACTATTAATTTCTGTAAAATTATTTCATAATATGTCGTGGGATATTTAACAAATGTATAATTATCACTAAGTTATTAAAAACATAATACAATAAATTGTTTTTATAAAATTTAAAGTATAAATAAGACTTTAACATCCTGGTGTAAAAATATTTTATTTTATGTAATACGCAGTTAATATTATATTAATTAATTATGAAATTAACTATTGTAGCACTTGTGTGCCTATCAGCTGCTCTAGGTAAGTTTAGTATATTTTTTAATTAGTAACCAGAACAAAAAATTATATTAATTCAAACATTTATTAAATAAAATTGGAATTATGTTATGCAATGATTAATACGTTAAAACTTACAGACAATTAATGAGTTTAATTAAGACAAAACATATGTTTCAATTGTGCTTTATTATAACTTATAATAATCTCGCTCATTATTAACATTATATTAAAGCATATTGAAATCTAAATATTGTTATATAAACACTCTTTACATAACAACTAGCGATGTATGCATTTAACAGTTTAATACTATATTTACAACACTAGTATTTTATGAATCAGAAATTAGACATTAATATTAATATTAACTTTTCAATATACTAATTTTATTACTCATAGCAAGGTAAAACTTGGGATTAAATTATTTGTCAATGTTTTTACTATATTTCCAAACAAAGAGATTAATAAATATTCATACTCTTAATCAAAATGAAAATTATGTTTCCAACAAAATATTTAAGTCACTTTTAATTC